TCCCTAGAAAACAAGTATAAAAACATTCTGGAAGAACCACAGTGCAAAGAACAAAACATTCACACGTGTGTCTCAACATCACAGCAAAAGAATATAATAAATATAATAAAAAAATAATAAAATAATAATTTATGAAAGATAGCTCGCCATTGTAGTTGTGTGCAGTGCCACTTAGTTTTACTGTGGGGCTGCAGCACTGTCACACTTCAGTCCTTCTCACTTGTTTTGGAGTGAAATATTGCTGACTGCAGTGACTGTCCACAGCGATCAACCGATGTAGAAAAGTTCTTTTACAATCACATCATCATTCCTGAGACTGCTCTCATCCCTCTGTGAAATTTCTGCTATCGATATGCCAGGCTGAATAACCTTTGGCAAAAGCCCTTGAGGCTGCAATTTGCCAACATCTTAGTGGTTTTCACTGGCATGTGGTAATGCATGTATTTCCAGAACTTCTTGTTTGGAGCAGCAGAAACGGAAGACTTCCAGGTAACGACTGGCAAAATCCGAAGAGCTTTCTTCACTACTGGAGGCAAAGTCTCTGGCTCTTGGAAAGCCTGGAACTTTATTAATACCAGTTTAATCTTTTTGTCTTCCAATGCACAGTTCACCGCTGCCTGCAGTTCGAAGATGCTTGGTCCACTGACGTAGGCTGGGCTCAGAATAATTATTGCTCGTCTGCTTTGTTTAATAGCTGTAACAACTTCATCTGTGTATGCTGAAGAAAAAATAGAGGTTGTTATTGCATTCTGTAATGTACTTTTTATATTATAGTAATTACTGCCTAAACTGACTACAGTTGCTCAGAAAGTAACTACTGAAATATTTGGGGTCTTCTTTTCAAGGAATGGAGTCTCCTTGCAAAGAAATTCATGGACAAGAACCTTTGTCTCGGCTTAGTTATCTTCTAGCGACGACACTCAAACATACATGTGCCTCAGGTGCTTATTTAGATAAAGATCAAAATATGATGGGATTTGAGCAGAAACTCCAGTACCAAAATACACCATTTTCTGATCTAGTGCATAAGGTTTTTTGGAAAATTAAAAACAATTTTATAAAGAACTGAAGATTTTCTACTATCCACAGGGACCTTACCTCCTCCTGGAAGGATATCTCTTTCAAGAATGCATAACTTGTATCCATATTTATTTTCCAGCATGTCTGGAAGAAGCTCCAGGGCAAATTTTTCCTCACTAATTAAAGTAGAGTCACTTTCAGAAGAGTCTGGTTTTGCATAGGACACAAATGCATCAAATTCTTTGCCATCTAAAATAAATAAATAAGTAACTGTATACATTAACAAGTCTGTTTGAAGCTTTCAGCTTCTTTGCTAAAGCTCAGTTTCCATTTATACCTATTTAAGCAGCTACAGCACAAACCTAAAATTAGCATCTGTTCGTGAAGTACAGCCATCCAGTTACCCAAAGCCAACCCTTACTCCTGACTGTCCTGTAAATTTTGTAGGCATACACTACCAAAGCTAATGAGGAAGCCACAGAAGACCAGTGCAAGGAAGTTTAAATCAGGCATTTTTCTGCATTTTCACAAATATGTGACAGTTTTCACCAGCGGAAGATCTGGCTCCTTCCAGGCAAAATCCATGTTGTAGGGAATGATTCCCAGTCTTTCCTCTCATTTGCCCAAATGCTGATTCCAAAAATACTCATCAATGCACAACTTACTTTGAAAATATAGTTAATTTTAGAGGAACAATGTTCTTAAATATTAGCTTCTTGCAAAAGATGCAGTTTTCATATATTGTTATATTTGTATTCAGAGAGACTGGTGCAAGGAGCAAAGCTTAACTCTGATCCAAACATCAGCTCAGACACTGAGTACTGACCAAATCCTGAATTTTGTTTCAGTCTCATTAAAAGAATATGTTTGTGAGGTGCAGATGAAAAATATATAAAGAACTTTTCTCGGCTTTCAAACATTCTGGTATCAATGACCTGAATTAGGCCCATTCTTAACTATAAGGAAAAGCAAATCCTTCTATTTGCTAAATAAAATTTGAACTACACTTGAGGGAAGAGGAGGGGAAACAAAAGGAATTGCTGGTGAAAGCAAAAGGCATACTGGACTCAGTCCAGTTCCCCATATGTAGTTGCTTGATGCCATTTAAGGGTCCTAACGTGGATGGGACTGCCAAATTTGACGTGGGAATTATTGGTGACTCAGATCTTTTGGAATGGCAGGACACCCTCACGCAGCCCAAATGACATCAGGCACCTATGATGTTCCAATCAGCTGACTTGTATCATAGGTTAGTACAGTTAATAGAAAACAGAAAGAAATTCAACTGTTTAGCACAAGGTCCTACTGCAGGGTGCTGCTGCAGGGTGAGCTGAGAAGCCCTCTAGCTTTCACTGTGTTGACTACATCTTTGCTGCATGGGAACCGAGACACATACTCCGGCACAGACACGTAAGTAACGGTGTTGAGTATAACCCCATGCCTCAGTGTTAACCTCCTGATTTCCATCCTAGATGTAAGATTTGGATCACAAACCTGAACTAGAACCATCAGGTTCCCACAGGATCTAGAAGAGTCCATATGGGTTCCAGGGAGCAAAGGAAATGCACATGGAAATCTAAAGCTGGGTTTGAACAGCTAGATTCAGAACCAGCATGTAGCAAAAAAGTATGTCATCAAACAAAACATAGGTGTGCAGATGAGGTTCAGAGGCCACAGATGTGATTAGACAACACACGTTTCACCGCCGCTCCTCTCCTCTGCACCTGGCCACACACTTCCACCACTTCCTTCTACGGGTGCTGAAGTTCTTGTGGTAACAGAGGAAGCT